GGTAGGGGTTGGCTGTCACACAGTCCAAGGTCAGTTCTGGGCACTCTTGCTCCAGGTGTCTGTGACAGAGCAGGCCAGTCGGAAACTTCCCCTCCTCCCCTGTTCATTTTGGAAACTGCCCAGAACCTTATTCTGGCCCTCCTTCTGCTGCTACTAGTTTCGGTCTGTCCAGCACCCTCTCCTTCTTGAAAAACATGGATACCTTGGGGAGAGTAGCCAAAGGAAACCAATTTTGCCTGAGATCCCCCTAGTGTGCGGCCACAGAAGAAACCCAGAGTGGGGAGTTCGGAATTTTGCTCTGCTCTGTTCTGTTGCTAGCTGTGTGACTTCAGTGAAGTCACTTAACTTCTCTGGACTATTTTTTCTCATATGGCAAAATACAAATGTTTAAGGTTCCACTTAGATGACAAAAGGATATATACCCATATTTGTATATTATATATTAAACTTTATATAATAGAAAATTTCAAGTACATACAAAAGTAGAACTAATGACACAATGAATCTATCTATCTATCTATCTATCTATCTATCTATCTATCTATCTATCTATCTATCTACAAGGAGCTCTGGTAGCGCAGTGGTTACGAATCGGGCTGCTAACCTCAAGGTCGGAAGTTTGAAACTACCAGCGGTTCAGTGGGAGAAAGATGAGGCTTTCTGTTCTGGTAAAGATTTACAGCCTCAGAAACCCTTTGCAGGGTTACTATGAGTAGGAACCAACTCCACAGTACTTAACAACAACAACAAATATATATGCATCACCAATTTGAATAACTGCCAACTTATAACCAATCTTGTTTTATTTATTGTCTTTAACCTCTTTCCTTATTACTTTGAAGCAAATCCTACAGATTTGATATTTGAAATTTGTATTATTTGGCATGTAGCTAGTGGTTTATAATTTTCAAAGTGCTTTCCCTGGCATGTTTTAATTTTGACCTGAGCATTGTAATGGCTTAGAGTGGAGCCTAAAGGAGGTTGACAGAGGTGCCAAAGATCCTCCTCCATTCCTCTGAGAAAACTTTGATGTGCATTCAGTATGGAAGTTTCTGAAAGTATCTGGTAAATACAATTTTTATACAGTGCAACCAGATTTTAAATGCTAAAAATGTTGGGTGTTTAGAAAGAAAATATTTTTAAAAAATACTTTATTGTGAACTGAATGAAGGTTTACAGAGCAGATCATCAGTTTTACATTCAACAAATCATACATTTTGTTTCATTACAATGATTGCAGTCTTCTCTATGCACCATCAGTTAATATTATTTACCTCTATTTCCTTTAACTCCTCCATGTATTTCCTGCTACCTTTATCTTTTCTCTGCCAACTTCTCTCTTGTTGTATATTGTTTGCCCTGTCACCCAAGTTACCATGTGTCTACCCTCTTGGTGTTGTTATTAAGTACTGTGGAGTCGATTCCGACTCATAGCAACCCTGCACAGGGTTTCCGAGGCTGTAAATCTTTTCGGGAGCAGAATGCCTCATCTTTCTCCTGCGGAACTTCTGGTAGTTTCGAACTGCTGACCTTGTGGTTCACAGCTCAAATCGTAACCACTACACTATCAGAGCATCTACCCTCTAGCTGTGAATAATTCCCTCCTCCCATCTCACCGCCTCCAGTAACCATCATAGAATGTTACATTTAGCAAGAAAATATTTTCTTAACTTTTTAGAGCAGTGGCCTCATACAATATGGTTGAATATTTTAAAAAGAGAATAATATCCTCTATTTATTTCGAAATACTGAATTTTGTATGGTAGGCTTAGCGCCATTACTTGTGTGCAAAGTATTGTTAGATGTGTGTGAACATCTTCAGTTAAACATTTCCCTAGTCTTTTAAAAAATTCCTTGACTCCTTCCTGTAAGGTTACAGTGATATGTCTACGAATCTAGATCCAAAGAACCACACCCAAAGGAAGTCTTTACTTCCTACCACAGGTTAAGTTTCAAGCAGCTATCCCCTATAATCCCCTTGCCCTGAGTGAGGTGGGGGTGGGGATGGTGGGAAGCTGCCTCTGTGTTAGGTAGTAGAATTAGAGTTGTCATTGCTGCAGGATTGTTGGTAAGACGTTTTCCTAAAGCCAAGTAATCCCATCTTCTCTCACTGTTCGTCTTGTCAGCAGCCCTCCTGGGAACTGAGACTTTTATTGGGAAGTGGTATGGAGAACACTGGCCAGGTGGCCCAAGCCAAGCCCATGCCAATGATGGCAGGCCACAGAGAAAGTGTTTGTACTTTATGGGGAGGTGAGAACATCTGCAACACAGCTTCCTTAAGTCCATTGGGAAGCTGGGGAGCATGAATCTAGTCTAGGCGGGAATAGGTATCAAACTGAACCAAAGAGCCATGGCTGGGGGTGAATTGGACACTGCTTCATGTCCCCCTGGTCCTCTGCCATCTGTCCCTTTGTAGGCAAGCATGACTGAACTTTGCAGCGTCATTATATACCTTCTAACCTGAGGGCACGAAGTGGGGCTTTCAAGGGACTGCAAGATACATCCTATCTTCCCATCACCCTGAGGCCATTGGGTCCATAGTTATGTGCAGGGGAGCCACCCTCTGTAACAGAGCTCCCTCACATGGGGATCTGGGGGTGAAGACACTGGGCCTTTGAGGATGAATTGATGAGTTTTGATAGGAACCTGCAGGCCCAGGTCAGGCCCAGCAAGAGGGAGGTTAATACTATTGCTGAATGTCTTCTATGAAGGGGCTCCTGAGTGACTATGAAAGGAAGACAAAAGTTAAAAATGAATTCTAAATAAATAAATAAATTCTGAGTAAAAAATAGCTAGTGAATGCAGGGCCCAGGATAGGGGTTGGATGGAAGGAAGAGAGGTACTCTTGATGGCAGGAAGTGGACTTAGTGTTTATTTTTTTAACCTCCTTCGCCCCCAGGAGACCAGCAGCGCTATCTGCAGCCTTTGTGGCTAGCATCTTGCCTGTCTGTGTCCCCCTGTTAGCACTTCCTCTAGATTAATGAGCTATGGAAGAGAATGGAAAAAGGAGTAGGCATTGTATGGTGCTGGTGTGGCGCTGTAGGATAATGTTCTGGACCTCAAGGTTGGCGGTTCAAACTCATCAGCCACTCCTTGGAAACCCTATACAGGGTTGCTATGAGTTGGAACCAACTCAACAGCACTTAAACAACAATTGTATGTATTGGCTTAAATTTCCTTACTATCTCCTGTCCTTGCCCTAATGTCAGCTAAAGCAAAAGAGCCTTAAACATCAGAATACCCCTTATGCTGGAAATCATTAACAAACAAAAGGGCCCTGTCATTCCTAAAGTTGGCCTCGTGCCTGCCCTATTGTTACCCTAACTGCTGTGCATATAAAATGAGCCTGCATTCACTGATGCTAATTCAGGTCAACTTTTTGTTCTTGCTGTTTTTGGCTTATCATCTATATTCTTTGTTCTGAGCAAAGATAATGCAAATGATCTTTCATGAATCACATTAGTTCATACCTTAATTATCTCTCTGTAGCATTGTGAATCTATGATTTTACTTGTCATCTTAGCCTAGGTCCTAAAAATATATGTGATTTATAATCCTAGCCTGACAACTGGCTATGATTTGGTGTAATAATATGCTTCCCAAAAGCAAGCCCCTATCTACCTGCTCCTTGTGACATTTGGCCTTACAGGTGGTCACGTGGATATGGAATGGTCTTGTCTTAGGTTTTCATCTGGCATACACGAAGACCATCTCAAGCAACCAACCCTTTTCCCAGTTAATATGCCAATTTTACTGTTTTGTGGTACTTTGAGATGATTGTAAAAGCTGCCAAAACCTTTGCTACAGAGGAGAGTGATAAGCTGATCTTATTAGTCCACTGAGAGCACAGCACAGCAAAGCA